GGAGGAAGAGGGATTGAAGAGCCTATGCGTGATGAAAAAGTTGTGCCTTCTGCATTGGATATCTGCCTTCCCACTGGCAGGGCTTAGGAGAAGATGTAGGCTTTTTCTCTGCCCTTCGCTTACTAAATGTTTCTAGACTTTTCCTCTAGGCTGAGTACCTATCTGTTTCTCTTTTCCTTTAGTTTTGGTGTTGGAGCTGGTTGCAAAATATGTTGATAGTCTGCCCAATCATCTCTTTTGGAAATGAAAAAGTATTGCTAACTTCAGGTCAAATTAGTAGAAGTTTGACGGCAGTTTTTTGCTTGCCTTGTTTCATCATGGAGGTATAGTTGCAGTGAATACAAATAATGCTTGATGGTGCAAATTTTGCCATGTAAAAATAGGGAGTAAAGTGGTGCAATACTAAAAATTAAATAGATATACACATTTCATGTTCGTTTGGGTTTTTTTTAACTAGAATTCTAACACTGGCCTAAAACCACTGCAAGACTACAAGGGAATAAAAAGGTGTCACTTTACTCTGTGTGTAAACAGATTGTTTTCTTCTTAAACATTAACCCTTAGTTTTATTTTCTATGCTAACGACTAGCTAAAATGTTTTCACAGGACCATTTATGACTGGGGACTTCGTGCTATCAAGTCAGTTTTGGTAGCTGCCGGCTCACTGAAACAGAGAGACAAGAACAGACCTGAGGATCAGGTAAAATCATCCCTTAAAAGCATCTAAGGGTAAGAGCTGTTTCTGGTGTTTTGCCTTTGAATAAAAACAGAATCCTAAAAGAGGAGTAGTTAGTGCTCTCGTGATATATGTTTTCCCATCCTTTTCCAGGTGCTTATGCGAGCCTTAAGAGACTTCAATTTCCCTAAAATAGCGACAGATGATATCCTAGTTTTCACGGGTCTGATCAGTGACCTGTTTCCAGCTCTAGATGTTCCGAGGAAGAGGAACCTGCAATTTGAACAGATGGTTAAATGGTCTACCCTGGAGCTTCACTTGCAGCTTTATTCTCAAAGTAAAAGAATGCATTGCCTTTAATTACTCCCCTTAAGAGTTTCAATCAAAATAATTGCAAATGAGTTATATTAGACATGAAGGTTATTTTTGAGCATGCTACAGTATTGATAAGGTGTTCTCAAAGTCTCAGTATTTCAAAGACATTTTGTCATGGCAGTAATGCACCTCAGTATGATAAATATACCCATAAGGAAACATGTATCCTGTTCAAAAAAGCTGTCTACACTGACAAACATGTTTGTTTGTGTACAGTACCAAGCATTTGTACTCAGTAGCAAATTAATTGTTGGTGATTATTTACAGGGAGGAAAGAAGAGCAAGGAAGCAAAAGCATATAAATAAGTAGGCGTGGATTTGGAATGTACATGGTTGCATGTGATTTTTGTGTGTTCTGGTATTTCTGTATAACATAATGCACATTGTGCTATACACATTAAAAACATGCATGTACATCTATGTATGCATGTATTCTCTTCAGGATTAGTTGTCTGTAAGCTAAATTTAAACACTAGTTTTAGTTTGAATTACTGATGTGATGAGAAGGTGAAACTTAGAAACACTGGTTAGTATATGGACCAAATAAAAAGTGTGCTTATTTAGTCTATTAAGAAAGTATATTCCCACCCTCCTTCAAGGAACATCCACATTTGCTGTATGCAGTAGGACACTTTTTACATTTATTAGGGTATATTGGAAACTGAAATAACCAAGCTGGTTAAATGTGACTGATCTAAGGATTTATAAAAGATTTTCTGCTCTTGTCTATATTGTTCCATTATCCTGACAGAAGAGTGAAAGAAAATAAGCTATACCTTGGTATATTATGAACTTTGCAAGCAGCCTTCTATAGAGTATTTTGATTCCTGCTAACTGACTGAATCAGAAGAGCACTGAGGAACATGGGCTTGTTCCTGTTGGACTTTAGAAAATCAATGCAGATGCTCTTCACTAAGACAGAAATCCATAAGCAGCCAAGTTATTTTCATTCTGTGGCTCACAGAACTGTTTCTTTGGAAGAAATGTATTACTTCAGTGGACTGTTTTTGTATTTTACCAAAGTACAGCTGCACAACTGTTTTGAGTGTGGAATTCACTCTGCTAAAGTGATGTCAAAATTGTGATAACTGTTCTGTGTCGCTGGGTTGGCACAATCCTACTGGACTGTATGCCTGTCTAGCAGAATAGGATTTGTTCTCACTTGTCAAGGTGGCTGCATTTATTAATACAAGACAGTTCTTTTCCCATTTTCTGGGAGACAAACAATGTTGCTTGTTGCAACATCAGCTCAGCCGAGGCATATCTGCTGAGAAGGTACAAGTTCATTTTCTCCTGTTAAAAGGAATAGGAATGGGGAGGGAGAGATAGTTTTTGTGAATAATTGTGTCTCTGTAAAAAGAAGGATAACAGTGGAGGAAAGGCCTCGCTGTGTATTCCTTCTGTGCGGTAGGTTGTTCAGCTGGAGCAGCTACTGGCGGTGCGTCACTCTGTGTTTGTCATTGGAAATGCAGGGGCTGGAAAGAGTAAGGTGTTTTACATTGTATGTGTTGTTTGTATGTCCCTAAGGAAAATTAATCGTGGCACCGAGTAATAAGCATTCAATTTGACAGATAGACTAAGTAATACTTTGCTCTGGAAGGAGAAGCAGGATGGTTTAATTAGGCTTCTAGACAGAAATAGTGGAATATACTCCACAACACCAAACAAATGCTTCTAATAGATAATGCTTGTCCACTTCTGCTATTAAATGTTGGCAGCTGTGGGGATTTTCTTCCCCATTCAACACTTTCTATTAGAGAAGATCAACTGCAGAGTACAGCTATTTCAGAATGAGATTCTCCTTTCCTCTCCTTAGGCTTAATGGAAGTTTGGGACTACACTAGCATAAAGGACATGAGTAAATCAAAATGAACAGTTGACTGAGTGCAGAGATTAGCAGTCAGAGACCCAGTTCAGGAAGAAAGTCAGATTCCTGTTGTATCAAAATTGTGTCACTAACGCACAGCCTGTGCCTTCTCTTCAAGTGCTGAAAGTTCTGCATCACAACTATGTTAACATGAAACAAAAGCCTGTTTGGAATGACCTTAACCCAAGAGCTCTGACAGCTGATGAACTGTTTGGGTTTATGCACTGTGCAACCCAAGAATGGAAAGATGGCAAGTAGCACGCATATTCTTACTAGGATCAGTTCCTAGTGGCATCATTCTTCATCAGAAATGGACAATGCTAGAATTTGGAGAAGATGTTAGAGACCAAATTCTTGCATTTTTCTATATTTTGATGCAATGAGATGTGGGTGCAGAGCACAGGTGGTTATGCAAAGACTGGAGGTAGGGCAGGATGCTAGTAGACAGAAAAGTACTAGCCTGAATGATGCTGATTCAGCTGCCTTAAAGGGCAAGTTATTTTCTTCACAGGCCCATGAAACATCCCATATCATTAAAACTAATGACATATTCTCCTGTAATCAAAACAGAAATAGGTCATTATTGCATAAAATGCAGTCAATTTACTGTATCAAGTGTTCACTGAAAATATTTTTTATTTTTACTTTGAATAACTGTCTAATAAGCAAGAAAAGGAAAAAAAGCATGATTTTGATGCTACAAAAACTTCATATTTCAGTGATGCATTAAGTCTTCTGAAGTTTTAATTGCTGTGCAGTGTTGTTATTTAAGCACTAAATTGATGGGATTCTATTGAAATATAATTTGCAGGTCTCTTGTCATCTCTTCTGAGAGAGCAAGCTAATATTACCCATGAGGGGCCAAAATGGTTAGTTTTAGATGGGGATATAGATCCTGTGTGGATTGAGTCACTCAACACTGTTATGGATGATAATAAGGTGAGCAACTGAGAAGCCAGTACTGTGGTTTCTCCTCTACCTGTTTTCACATTTTCTTCTTCCTTTATTTTTCTGGAGATAGTGTGTGTTCCTTTTTTTTTTTTTTCCCCCCATTCTTACAATTTCCTTGGTTTTCACTACTGCTCAGTGATATTTTAGCATCTGAGTAACACATTGTGTCTTGCCTATTTTGTGCAACAAAAAGGCTTAAAGTAGCCTACGTATACGGTAAGGGTGATTGTGCCTCCTAGTGTTTGAATTGATGTAATTCAAAATGTCAATCACAAGATTATTGAAACTGATATTTGGAAAGCCTCTCAGTAAAATAGAATTCATGAGTCAAGTCCTTGCATCACTGTAGTAAGGAAGGCTAGTGTTAAGAAATATAAATAATTCAGTTTAAGAACTAACAGTAGTACCCAGACTTCTTATTCCCCTCTTATTAATTATAGAGCTAAACCAATTTTGTTGGCTATCCAAAATGCTGTAATGTAATGAAACCCAAATCTAAAATCTGAATGTAACCTTAGGAAAGCAGTTGTATTTTAGCCCATTCTCTTAAGCTTTCTTGTGTTAAGAACTTAAACCTATCTAGGGACATGATCGCTGGTTACTCAGCAAGGTGTCTGTCTGAGGCTAGCCACATAGTCTGCCTCTAGCTATGGAAGAGAAAGTGGCTTTTTCAAGGGATGTTTCAGAGCACCTAAGTTTAGGCTCCTGCTCTGAATAATTTTCTTTTTATTTCCATTGACAGAGAGACTTCACCTCCCCTGCTTTTAGCAGCTTTCAGGAGAACTCACATTGGTGAAGCAGGCTAGTCATCTTCTGAATGAATTAAACTGTGGAAAACTCCTACAAGCTCAAGCAAAACCTTTTGAATTTGTCCTCCTCTGTGTTTCTGAAGTAAAAAAAATACTATAGCCATGTTGAAATAAAGTTTGTTTACCTATGTTCAAGAAATAGTATATGTGCATGGTGTTGCAGGTAATCCTTGCTCCTTTGTGGGGCTATAATAAACACATGCTTGCCTTGATCGTATTCTTGCTAGACAGTGTATCTTAGCTTGCTTTTGCTGAAAAATATACTGATTGTTTCTAGGTTCTGACCCTTACAAGCAATGAATGTGTGCCTATGACTCCATCAATGCGGCTGCTGTTTGAGGTACGCCATTTAAGAGCTGCTACTCCAGCTACAGTAGCCAGAGCTGGTATTCTCTGACTGAACACTCAGGACCTGGGGTGAAATCCGTGAGTATCTGATGATATTAGTTTGCATTTTAAAGATACATCTTGAAGATTAATAGGAATAGGCTCCATTATTTATATTAATTCTTCCTTCTAGTTTTTATTCTGATAATAGTGGGATGATATAGTTGGTGGTCATGTATCTTCTCAAATATGCAGTTTGGAAAATTTCACCACCAGTTGAGTGTTTTATTTTCCCCTCTTATGTGTACTGCTTAGTCAAGGCTGGATGCCAAGTGCCCACCAACGCTGATCTATCACTCTCCCCTCCTTAACTGGACAGGGGAAGACAAATACAATGAAGGGCTCGTAGGTTGAGATAAGGACAGGGAGATCACTCAGCAACTACTGTTACAGGCAAAACAGACTCGACTCAGGGAAATTAATTTATTTATTACCAGTCAAAATCAGAGTAGTGTAATGAGAAATAAAACCAAATCTTAAAACAGCTTCCCCCCACCCCTCCCTTCTTCCTGGGCTGAACTTCACTCCCAATTTCTCTACCTCCTCCCCCTAAGCAGCGCAAGGGAACAGGGAATGGAGATTGTGGTCAGTTCATCACACGTTGTTTCTGCCGCTCCGTCCTGCTAACACTCTTCCCCTGCTCCAGCTCCTCCTTCTCCTTCTTCGCTGACCTTGGTGTCTGTAGAGTTGTTCCTCTCACACATTCTCACTCCTCTCTCTGGCTGCTGTTGCACATTCATTTTTTCCCCTTCTTAAATATGCTATCACAGAGGCGCTACCACTGTCACTGATGGGCTCAGCCTTGGCTGGCTGGCACTGGCTCTGTCAGCCTGGGGGGAAGCTTCTAGCAACTTCTCACGGAAGCCACCCCTGGACCCCTCCCTGCTACCAAAACCTTGCCACACAAATCCAGTGCAAGTAGTGAACTGTCTTTTGTAATACAAATTTGGCAATAGCAAGACGTGAATAACTTCGCTACTGTTCTCTGGCAGCTTTTTAATAATTGTCACCATCTTTGATACTGTTAAGTACACTGGTTTATATCAGCTTGTATGGCTATCACCCAGCTGGCTTGTGTTGGTAATTATCTAATTAAGGTTTAGGCCCTGCCTACAAAAGGCGGGCCATTTTCTCCTGGCTGTGGGAGAAGCAATGACATCCTTGGAGCTGCAGCCTGGGCTGGTGAGCAACAAGCTTGGGTTTTTGTTTCTCTTACTCCTTTGGGTGACGGTACTGCTCTTTTAACTTATTTTATATCTATGCTTCATGTAAATTAATTGAGAACAATTTTTTCTAAAGAATATGGGTTTCCATGTATAAAAGGGAATTTAGTTGGTCAAGGCACAATGCATTAGCTTGAAGCAGTCCAATGTGATCTTTTCCTTTTGCATTTGTTGAGCTGATCCAAAACAGTTCTTACAAATTTTAGTAAGAAGTGAATTTTTTTAACATTTGTTAGTTGGTGTTTTTTATTTTCAAGCAGCATTTCTGCTGTTTCACATCAAAATTCAATTTTGCAGCATTCCAATATGTCATCAACATTTGAGTCAGTTCTAACTGTCCGTGTTAGAGCTGTAAGCCATCCGGACAAGAAGCCTTCAGTGAACTTATTTCCCAGAGAAATCTTGTCAGCATGAGAATTTAATTAAACAACATGAGACTGTACAAGCTTCCCACGTAGGGGGATGAGGATCAGAGGACTGGTGAGGACATAGGGAGGCAATATGATCTCTCACTACAAATAGTGTAGAGAAAGTAGAAACAGTAGGCAACAAACTGTCCAAATAGAATAGCTATGAACGAGTGAATAATCAGTTTAGACTGGGTTTGACTGATACTTTGTGAACACAAGCATGGGGATAAAATTGCCTAACCCTTTGGAATATGAAGTTAGGCGTGTGGCTGTTAAGATGAAGTATGTGTTATAGTTATCATAATGATAAGGAATTTTAGACTTGGTTGTGATAGGAACTAGCACATGAGAAGGGTTACTTTTTTGTCTCCAATTACTTATAGCCAGACTTTTCAGCCACACTGTTATATATACTACTGTGGATATTTGCAATGCAAGTTATGTTGAACTTGGGTGTTGCATAATCCTCGGTCTTGTGTACAATGTGCACACTGGTATTTTAAGTACTGTTCTCAAAAAACATAAAACAAATACAGAATCCTTGCTTCCACCTGCTTTTAGGTGGTCCAGCCCTCTGAAAGCAGGGGCAAAGTATCATCTAGGTCCTTTCTTCCTGCCCTCCCTGAAATAAGAGATGCAGTCAAGGAAAAGGAGTATAGCCATATGCCAGTGTACTCAGCTGTCATAATGGCTCTTAAAAATGCAGAGCATGATGACTTTTGCATGAACAAATACAAATGTTGTAAGGCTGGTGGCACTTCTGTCTGACTTACAACCAATGCAGTAGTATTTGTTCATTGCATTAAAGGCAGTCACAAACAGTTGTTGAAAGTCAACAAAAGTTTGTATTTCAAAGCTAGAGAGAGGAAATTTTGTATTTTTTTTCAGCTTCTCTGTGATAAAAAATTGATTGCTTTCCAATTTGTTTTGCAGGTATGTTGTCATCTGGATAGAAACAAGGAGATACCAATCTGAAAAGGCTAACTTGACTGTTCTCTTTGATAAATATGTGCCTCCCTGCTTAGAACAGCTCAGAATAAGATTTAAAACTGTAACCCCTATTTCTGAGAATAGTATGGTTCAGGTATGCATTAGGATTAAAACTATTTATCTTTTAAGAAACAGTATTTCTGAAGCATCCACTGAGCATGTGGTCCTATGAAGGAGTGAAAATGCTAGAAATTACTGTAAATCTGAAAGGTATGTGAGATGAAATTGAGAGGCTCTTACATACCAAACCTGGACCCGTATTTTGGAGACTTAGAGAGATTCAGAGTTTTCACGTTGCAGTGGTCCACTGTAACAAGAAGAAATGTAGTATGTTTATGGCACTGCACATAATAACCTGACTTCTTGGTTCTTGTGTTGTTGTTTCTGTTAGTACTGTTTTAGGTAGCTTAGGGCTAGCTATTTCATCTCTCTATACGTGCATTCTGCCTCTCTCTAATTAAATGCTCACTAACGTTAGTTACTCTCATACCGTGATAATGAGGCTGTACGTTATTCTATGTTATTAAAGAATGGAGCTGAACTCTGTTTCAGATATAAACAATCTGATACTGCACATCCTTATATTGACATTTTAAATTTACTTAATATGCTGTGTCATTCTAAACTCTTCTGAATGTTTGCCTATGCCTCTCATAGTGTTTCTAAGTCAATATGAGAAGAGAAAGCTAACTGAGTGAGTGTTAAGAATCTGCCATAACGTACATGCCTGAACTGTGTGACCTTCTTCATATACCTTGCTTTAAGTAGCGTAGAATGAAGGTATTTTGGTACATTTTATCAGAAGACCTGTTCAAGCCTTTGACCTCTGAAAGGAGCTCCTAGACAATAAGGAAGCACAGCAAGGAGTTGCAGTCTGACTACTTAAATTTAAATACCTTCTTGAGATCACTGTCACTTTCCTATGGAGTAAGCCTCACAGGTCACTCTATTCACATATTTATTTGTTGCAGACACTCTGTTCTCTGCTGGATTGTTTGCTGACCCCTGAAAATGTGCCAGTGTATTGCCCCAGAGAGCTCTATGGGATGTATTTTGTCTTTGCTTGTGTTTGGGCATTTGGTGGGGCGCTCTCTCAAGATCAGGTAAGTTAATGAAAATAACCACAGTATCGCACTGTGCTTGAAAAACAAACATTATATATAATATACACCTACCTACCTATTTAAACAGATATAAATGTGTGTATGTATATGCAGAATTCTACCCACTAATACTGATGGAGGTGCAGAGCAATAGCCCATGCATCTGATTTGTTGGCCTGTAGTACTGTGTACTTGAGCTATCAGACCTCATCTGTAAATGAGCTAACTTGACCGGAGGGAGCTGATGGCTTACAGTGCAAGACTGTGTGCAGAGTCATTTACATGCATAGAGAAGCTGTGTTTACTTAGGGAAGTGTTAACCAGTTGTGCTTTTTTATCTATACTAAAGTCCCTGGCTAAGCAACAAAAAGTAATGTGAGGGTCATGCCTACTAGAATTAAAGCATCTAGCAAAGGGCTGGACAGATGTATGTTTAATCTCACTTGTTGGATGTATACTGAGAAATGTAGGTATAAGCAAGGCATTATAATGCATTCCCCTTAGTGAGATTTTTTTTCTTGTGATGCTACAAAAGGTTTGAAGAAGAAAGTTCTAAAACTAAAATTACTTGTCTGTGTTTTGCTTAGACAGATCTTGATTTCTTGAGAAATATCTAGTTGTACTTGCCTATTAAAGACTAAAAAAATATAGTTGGCTTTACTGCTGTTTAAGTAGATGAAGCCCTTGTGAAGGAACAAATTTATACGTGTGTCATCCATAGGTAAAGGAGCACCTTGCATAAGCTGAAGAATCAGAAGCAACACATTATTGCGTCAAGAGACTGGGAAGATCTTTTTGGTCATATTAACATCTGTTTTCCTATCCTTCAAAAAGACTTGCTGTTCTGTGAAAATACTCAGGAGATTTTTTTTCTGAAGCAAGTCATCTCTGTGGTTTCACAACTGTATAAATCTAAACTGAATTTAGAAGTTTTAGGAAATAAAATATTTGGACTGGATGTGTGGTGGGTTAGCCTTGGCAAACAGCCAAACACCCAACCAGCTGCTCACTCACTCCCCCTCCTCAGCAGGGTAGGGGGAGAAAATAGGCTGAAAAAGTTTATGGGTCAAGAAGAAGACAGTGTTTGGTAAACAGTTACTCTCATGGGTAAAACAGAATTCATTTGGGGAAAATTAATTTAATTTGTTGCCAGTTAAAATGGATATGGGTAGTGAGAAACAAAGGCAAGCATTAAACCAAAGCCTTTCCTCTTTTCTCCTTCCCACCTCGCAAGCTTAGCTTCACTCTTGACTCTTCTGCTTCCACCAGTCCAAGCAGCATAGGTGGACGGACGTTATGGTCAGTACACAGAGGTTTCTCTCGGCTGCTCTTTACCTCTCACACTTTACCCTTGCTCCAGCATGGTCCCTCCATGGGCTGCAGTCCTTCAGGGCATATTTACCTGCTCCACTGTGGGGTCCTCAGTGGACTGCATTGTAGGGGCCTGCTCCAGCAATGTGGAGATCCTTCTCCTCCTCTTCCTTCCTAATGTCGGTGGTCTGCTGCTTCTCAGTCTTTCTGCCCTTGCTTGAATACAGTTCCCCAGAGGCATCGTACCTGTAGTTGAGGGGCCCAGCTGTGCCCTGCAGTGGGTCTATGTGAGCCAGCAGGAGCTGGCCATGTCGAGCATGGGGCAGCCCCTGACCTCACAGAGGCCACCCTGCAGCCCCCCACTGTCAGCATCTTGACACCTGCACTCAATCCCGGATGTTATCAGAAGGCCTGATTTTAGCCCCTTTGAACAGCAGCAATACTAAGATACTGATTTGATGTTTTTGGTTATTTCATCACAGTCTACATGTGTATCTCTGTTTTTCATGTGTGCTTCGTATGAATGTCTTGATATGGAAATAGTGCTGTAAAAAATTATTGCACCATTTTATAGCTTTCAAATTACCAAGCTGAATTCAGCTGCTGGTGGCTTAAGAAGATGAAGGCAGTGAAGTTTCCATCCCAGGGCACAGTGTTTGATTATTACTTTGATCCAGAGACGAGGAAGTTCCTGCCCTGGGTGGATAAGGTCCCAAGTCCTGATATGGATCCAGATGCATCTCTGCAGGTACAGTGCACACCAGTGACCACACAGCTGAGCACTGCTAGATGCAAGAATGTTTTGGGATCTTGTCATGGTTTCTGACGTCTTCTTAGAGGTCCTGGAGTCACACTCTTTAGATGTGTTTGGATAAATCCCTGCTGTGTCGGACACATATGCCTTCAGCTGAGTGTTGAGGATTCACAATGAAGCAATGCTTTTATTGATTTTTGTGTTATTAAAGCACTCCTGAAGACATACCATATTCAATTTGTTAGTGGTTTGCGCCCTTTTTCCACAGTAGTAGAAATTCAGGCTCCAAGTCCATTTAATCATTGAAAACAATGCCCACAGCAACAGTACACCACAAGTTGAAGCCTTAACATTTTTCTATTGCCAGCTTTATGCATAGGTATTCTTTTGCCAGCTAGAGTCTCTCCAAGAGAGACTTCTTGAGAGAAGACTTCTTGAGAGACTTCCAAGTCTCTTCTAAGAGAAGCGCGTGAGATCTCAGGGAAGCAACTCACTTCATCACCTTTGCACTATGCTCTTGGTCAACTTACAAAGTTAGAGCTGTATTTGTGGAATACAAATTGTAGAAGTTATGATAGTATGATATATACCTATCAGTGGAGAAGTAGAAAGCATGAGCTATTAATTGTACTTGCCTCAGTCTGGGAATTTGGTTGATTTTGCTCTTTTTCTCAGTGTGATTTACATAGAATATTCTCAAATGTTTCATGGTGTTTTGATTGCATAAACTTCTAGGTCTTTTTCTTTTTAAATGCTTAGATGAATAGGAATTTTCCTGGAGAGATTAGAAGTTTGTGGGCATAGAAACATGGAGCTGATGATCCAAATATATTATCCGTTATCAGCTATCCTGTAACAAGTTCTTTTCTCTTCATCAAGTATTAACCCATACTTGGTAGGAAAATACAGAGTTTGGAAAATAAAGCTTTATAGGCAATGAACGTTTTAGTTGCTCACAGTTAGTAAAGCTAATCTATTGCCAACTATTTGCCCGAACAGTTTTAAGCATGCTGAAAGCCAAGCCAAAAAGCAAATGGAAATACTAATTGAAAAATTAAACCAACTACCTGTTGCACCAGCCTTTGTTTCTCTACTAATTTTTGGGAGATTGGCATTCTGTAAAGTTTGAGATGGAACCAATGCATTTCAGCTACAATCTGATTTCAAAATCTTCCTACTAGAAGAAATTGAATACAAATTTTCAAGTAGAAATGCTGTGTAAAAAGTAACCCAGTAGAACATTTTGTTTTAGTAATTATGTTTGAGAACAAGAGAATGGTGTATCCCCTTTCATTGCTTTTTAGAATTCAGACCTAGCCAGAGAGAGAGAGGAGACAGAGATGGAGACAGAAATTACTGTTTACTTTTAAAACTAAACTATGTTGTACAAGTGTTTGACATTTTTTTTCCTTTTCAATTTCAGGCAATCTTTGTTCACACATCTGAGACTGCACATCTCAAATATTTTATTGATTTAGTCTTAACAAAAGGCAAACCAGTCATGCTTGTTGGAAATGCCGGAGTAGGAAAAACAGCGTTTGTAGGCGATAGGCTTGCTGCTGTCTCTGAAGACTACCTCCTGGCTGACATCTTTTTCAACTACTACACAACATCAGCAGTGCTTCAGAGCAATTTCCATACAGATGCAAGAAACCTATCTTCCCTCAAAAGCAAAGGTGAAAAACATTACATGGTTATTACAGTCTCATACAGCTGTTGGCTGCTGTTGTTGCTTGGGTCTTGGCAAGCTAATTGCTTCGTGAAGTGGCAAACTTAGTGAAGTTGGGGCAGGCAAGAGGGAAGGAGGAGGATAAAACTGTTTGGGGTGAATTGGACACTGACACTGGGCTCCAAGTTGCTTGTGCTTGTGGACACAAGAAAATGCAGCTTTACCTATGTTAACAAGAAGCCTTGAGCCAGCTTTGGCTAGCCTGAATGTCTCCGCATTGTGCCTGTAGATGTACCAAAAAAGGACAGTCAGGAGTTGGGCTTGCTTTTGCTAGGCACCATACAATCTTCAAGGAGGTGCAATCCCTGTCTAGGGAAGTTTGGAGTCTCCATCGGAGAGGCAGATGCAGAGCAAAGGAAACATTAATATAACACACCAGCAGAGAGGGCTGTGTGTTGGCCAAAAAGTTTACACTGGTGGTAGTTTTGGAACCAGAGGAGTCATGCAGTCACAGTAAAATAGGCGCGTAAAAGCTCTGTGTCTCTTCTGCTTTTCGTGAGCAACACAACCACGGGAGAGCGCAGCTGTCAGTGGGCATGCCCTCTTTGCCTTCTTTTTTCATCCTTACAGTAATTTGAACTGACACAACTATACAGAAAAAATGACATGCTCTATTCACTATGCAGTTTTTACAGATGTAAAAAGCACTAGAGAAAGAAGTTAATACAACTGTCTTATCCTCTCATATATCTGGGAGAAGGTACAGAAAACAATTTCTTGCTTTTAAAAACCTCCCAAATGTAAGGAGTCTTTAGATAAAATCTTTAGAAGTATTTGTTTGTTGCTTAAATTTGCTTAAGTTTGCTTAATTTAACTGCTTGTGCAACCAAATTCTTAATTTTTAGCCAATCTACATTGTTACTAATGGATCAAATTGTCACTAGACTTAAAAAAATAAGTATAAATCCACACATTTCTATTTAATAACTTTTTACCCTGCTTTTTCTTTCCTGTCTCCTGTTGATTTCTTCTGTGTTCAGGCCAGGTAGCAAATACTGCTTTCAGTTTACTTTGTACCTTAGTTTAGTCTTTGAAGCATTTCCAAATTCCTGCTAACTTAGAATCCTGCATTAGCAGAACTTAATCACCTTTTTGCCCCTCAAAATGAATGGAGAGGACTGGGGAAATGAAGTCTGCTGCGCAGCAGAGTGAGATCACGAACCGATGTAATAGCTGTTATAGCTCCTTTAATGGGGAATCAGCCTTAAAAAGTTTTCAGATATTCCTGTGTTGAGAGGGTTATTTTTATCTAGTGATTGCCATTCCAGCAGCAGCCGTGACCAAGGCACTAGAGCACAAAGGCATAACACTTTCCATTGCAAACAGAAGCTGGTAAAAGGAGCTCCTGGGCAGCAAAGGTTATGTGTTCTTCTTGCAGGAAACTTCTTAAATAAACCTAATAGGTGAAGTCAGCATCACAGAGGCTTTCTCTTCAAGTATATCACACCCACGAATTGTACTGTGGCATAAAATTGAGGAGTTCATGAACTGTTAAGGATTTGCTGTGAAATGTTAGTAGTATTCCTTCAGATTTTAAGTCAGTATTGTAAAACCTTCACTGCTTCTTCTAAGACGTACTAAGAGACAAACAAAGTGGACTCTTCTTGTTGTCTGCAGCTCTTCTTTCTGCCCACTGCTCTTCAGCCAAGTCCCTCTTGTTAAATGCTCTGCTAGCAAGTCCTTCCACTAATCACAGCAGGTGAAGAACTGGGTGACAATTCAGAAACAAGTATATTGTGTTGGCTTTCCATTGTGTTTACAACATTTTTTCAGTGAGCTGTGTCTGTTCTGTCATGTATAGTTAAAAATGACTGCCTTTTACGTTATTTTTGTGTTTGTGTGTACCAGTGCTGCTTCTGATAAAATGCATTCAAGTGATACACTGAAATGCCTGCCTTATGTGTTATAGGCTACCACTTCAAGCAGTCGTTTGGAACAATTAAATTGTTGATTTTTTTTTTATTTAATGGAAAGAGACATTCACATCAAATTACACAAATGAGCAATTTAAATTAAGTCTCAGTTTAAAAAAGTTTAACAGTTGAACTTGTTGAAGTGCAGTTATATACTACATTGCCATTTTATTTTCATAGTTTAGAGGTTGAAAGATTTCTCTTACAGATCAGATCACTTTTAATCTGCAATATTTTCTGTCGGCTCCCATCTTATCTGTATCCATATAACTTTTTTTGAGGTATCTACTAGAGTGGGTGAGATTGCATGTAGTCTTGGGTTTTATTTAGCAATCCCCCAAGGCGTATGACTCATCCGCTCTGCCTCTAGAATAGCAGATAATTTCAAAATGTTACTTGATGGAGGCAGGTTCTGATGCAAACTAATATTGGTACGTTACGTTTGGGGTCTTTAACAGTACTGAAGTCTGGAGCAGTGCCACAGAGAACAAATTTGTGCAAACATTTATGTACAATGGAATTTAGTAGAATATATTTCCTTATTGTACTGCAGTAATACAGTACTTTTTAAAATATAATGGGAGTAATAGATTATAATTGTGGACACTATTTAAAATCTAGATGAAGTTGAGTATTCCTAATTTTGAGTTTAAAGGTACACGTATACGTGTACCTCAGCTAAAAGAAGCAGAAAATCTTCTCTTACATAAGATTTTTAAAGTAATTAAGATACTTTAAACCTTTCATATGCACATAGCTTCTGCAAAAAGTTTTTTCCCCTTTTGTGGCAGAAAAGCAGGATAAGTGTAGTCACAGCTTCTTTTCCGCCGAATTTATGATCATCAGGTTGCAAATATGTTGAGGTTCTGCATCTCTGTCTTGTCCTCCAGCACACCTTCACTTTTTATCTGCTTATTTTTCTTCTCCACAGTCAGTAACCATCCTTTTAGCTGACTGTGACTAGACGGAAATGTCCTTGGAAGCATTTGTTACCTCTCTTGAATTGGCCAGACAAAATCACTGTTGAGGTTTGCAGATGATTTATTTCACTGTTTGAAGAGTCTAAGATGACAACACAATACTCCTTTTGTCCTAATGGAAACTGTTTGCAGTGGTATATTTGTCTATACTGTTTTGCCTCAGAAACCAACAAGTCTGCTGCAAGTCAGAATCACAGCAGGGCTATGACATACAGCATTCAGCTGGCACTATGCAAGTACAGTTTCTGTTTCCTACAAGCTCTCATAATCATGTTGCCCAGTTTTTGTAAAAAACCAAAACAAGTTCAAAACCACATGCTTAATTTTCACTCTTTTTTTATCTAACTTGAAGATTTTTAACATACAACCTAATACAATGGAAAAAAAGTAAGAAGTCTGTAGTCTGCATTTTTGTGCTATTCTACTTATTATATATAGAACTGATAATACTTTTTTTCTTCCTCACACTCCTTTCTTTTTGACAAATATTAAAGTCTCAAAAAATGTGGGCTTAGTCATCTCAAAACCAGTAGCAGGTGTAGCACAAACTCACACTTATTGACTAGAAAAAAAAAAAATCTAGGCTAGATGCACTAAATTTTTGAGAACTCTTTTTCCTCTTACCCAGCAGTATTGAGTGAGAAATCTCATGTATATAAAATTGGAATTAAATTCTCTCCTGTGCTGCAAGCGTTGTAACTACCATCTTCCCTAAATGTTTCATAACCACCTTTGATTCAAATCCCTGCTCTGAATGAGAGAGCTTTTGAAATTAGGCTGCTCACTGAAGATAAGAACCTCAGTCTCTGGGACATGCTGAAAAGTTTTTTTGTTGAAATCCACCTATTACTGTGGATTTAGTTTTGTGCAAAACATTTATGTGATCATTTAGACAACAAAAATATATGACCTAGGAAGGGAGAGAGATGAAATTGTTAGTTTCCAGTCCTGCTTTAATAAGTTCCCAATGATTTCTGCAGGTTGTTAGTTCCAAGCAAAAAATATGAACAGTGCAATTAGAAACCAAGCTTCCATGGACAATGAATCTTTTCTTGTGAATCTGTGGAATACTTCACTATGTGGCAAAAGTCGAGGATCACATCATACCAAAGTTCAATATTTTAATAATGCTTAATACATGTGGTTTTCTTCTGTATTTTCAAGATGACTTAGCAGCTTTCTGTAGTTACTCTTTAAAATCCCTTACACCTCTAAGGGAAGCAGTGCAGATGGATAAAAATTGTATAAACTCAAAATTTATGTCTCAAGATTTTACAGTTCTGATGAATACATAAGGGTATCTGAATTAATTTGTTCCCTGTTGTAGTAATTTTGTTATCTGATGGTCTGCATTCAGCATCAAGTAAGCACCTCATTTTGGGAAATAGGCTGAAATTTAATGCAATCAGCTTAATATTCCTTTAGTATGGGAGATGCCACACTAGTTTCCTGATTAAATGATATTTGTCATTTATATTTTTACACTTTAAGTTTGATAAAGTCCTTGTTTATTCCTTCCCAAGAGAAGGAGAAAATAATCTACTTCACTGATAAACTTGCTGAGTGGATACCTGGGGATTTCACATTCAAAGCATTTCAGTTCCAAAGGATGCAGATGGATATGCAGTGAGACTTTCAAAAGCTGTGAAATAGTCAACCAGCTAAATCAACAAGACTCTTCTGGAATTCAGAATCCCAGTGTGATGTTTTTTCAAAGGCACTCTGTGAGTTTTGCTGATTACTAAGGACTTCAGTAGTTCAAAAACCCTTGTGGGTGGTGAAATGTTTCATAAATTTTAGCCAGCATGATTTTGAACTCTCGATTTGTTTAGTTTCAGCATTGCTTAGTATGGTAATCATTTTTATGTATGTTGTGTTACATTTCAGAAATGTTTGAAAAAAAGCTGGTCATAACTATGGTCCAGTAGGAAATAAGAAACGTTTGAATATGCCTGAAGTGGATAGATATGGAACAGTTCAACCTCACGCATTGATTTGGCAGCATATAGATTATGGACATTGGTGAGCATTTACTTCTTAATGTTATGCTACAATTTTTATATCGTGGTCCACGATCGGATATCTAAACCACATAGAAACAGAAGGCTTCAAAGAGAATTGCTTAAACGGAAAAGCATACTCTCCCTGGAGGTTAGAAACAGTTTTAGAAAAGAGAAGCATAAAGTGAAGGGGCTGTAGAGAGTTTCAGAAGGAAAGTATCCTTCAGCTGCTCCTGATGGTGCTGCTCAATGTTGATCCCATCAATTGACTTGAGGAGAACAGGGATATATGAGAAATAGAAATTGATTCCCTAAATTGCAGCCTGCCAAATGTTCAGCCTATACTATCGCCCTGTAAAGACAGCAGAAAAAATCCACAGAATCTTTATAGTACTGGTTCAAATGAATGATATTCCAGGGCCCTGAGAAGAAAAACACGTAAGATGATCACTGAAGGATAAATAAGTTGATTTGGGCAATTAAGGTAATTCTCTTCTTTCTTTCCAAAGGACAATTTAATTTTAAATTAAATTGGCAGTTAAAATACATTAATATCCTTTTATCAGAGTCCGTGGAAGGAGAAAGTATTCAGTTTAAAATCAACTGATTAGTGTTTGATTTTGTTCTGTTACAGGAGGATCTACATTTTCTGTAAATACTTAGTTGTTATTATAAATGCATATTAGATTCTTGTTCATATACAAGCATGACACTGATGTGACATGAAGAGAACACGCAACATACAAAGAAAACATTGTGAATGATCTAGTGGGTAAAGGAGAAAACTAATCAAACATTTTTAAAAAAAGTTAAATGCACATCTGTCTGTGTATTTTAGCCTTACAATTTTTGTTTCATCAAGGGTTCTTCTTTTCACTGACACATACGCTTTGATCTGACTGTAATTGTGACCAAAGTGAAGCAATAGCATGTGTACTTGTCTTGCATCTTTTAATGCAGATTCAGTGGGATCATATAAACTTTTCACTAGGTTATACTTCATTTCATGAAGGAATGATACCAGGTGTCAGCTGAATATCTTGTTAAGGAATGAGATGTACAGAGAAAAAAGGAAATGCCTGCTCAAATCTGAAGCATCTCTAGCTCAGAGAAGTCAATGGGGTCTAATTCAGTGACATGCAAAGCTAATGTCTCAGTGCCCTTCTGTTTTCTTCCCAGAGCTATATGCTATTCTAGCCTGGGATCTTTTTGTTTTCTCACAAAGATTTCAAACTTCAGATCTTAAAAGTTCCTACTGCTTGAAACTGTTGGTTCTTCTTTCTTTTTAATTGTTTGAATTGTTTCTTTTGAAACAGAACCAATCAAAAAAAAAAAATCTCCCTTTTACAAAACAAATCAAATTAAGAAAAAAGTTGACCATGCTATTCAGGAATTTTGAATATAACCATTTGAGAATTCTAAAATAGAGTAAAATTTATCGCAAAACCATGGAAAGAAAAAGAATGCATTATACTATAAAGTTCTGGAGATGATTTGTTGATTTAAGCAGGGAGTGTCTGCATTATTTATGAGTTTTACTGTGTTTTTTTTAAAGATGGTAGCTGCTTGACCAAGTTCAGTAGTATGCTAACTTCTAAAGAAACAATCTTTGGATTTGGGCAATCAAAACTCAAATTGCCAGCGACTGAATGACATTTATTTATTTATTCATTTATGCGTTTGTTTATTTAAAGTGGCCTCCTTTTAATTCACCTAGAGCTATGTTGTCTGGAGAGCCAGAAACAGTATCTATTGGATGATGCTGCAAGAAAAGGAGTATCTCTTAAGCCTGCTGTTTCCTACTCTGTGGCATTTTCTCTTAGGTGTGCTTGATGACAGTTGTTTTACATAGCGCTCAGAGCCATTTCTTCATGATTTGAAGACTGATTTGAACTTCTTTTGACCATGTTGTATTTTATCATCATTGGATTGTTTCAGGAGAATGTAATATCTTCAACAAAAACATTGAACAAAATATTATGTGATAGAAATTGTGGGATTTTTTTTAAATTTTAAAATGTCCATTGTAATTTGATACTTCTGTGGCCATCTGTATTCCAGATTTCCCATAGGGCAGAAATGTTGATTCTTCTGCTGAAGTTAAGCCTGGAAAACGTACAATATTTTGTCACTACTACTAATCAAGCTACGTTTTCTTCCTCAGGTACGATAGGCAGAAGCTAACTGTTAAAGAAATTCATAATTGTCAGTATATTGCCTGTATGAATCCAACGGCTGGCAGCTTCACTGTCAACCCTAGGCTCCAGGTATGGTTTAAAGTGTCGTATTAGAGCAATCCTGTATTTAATAGATAATTACTGTTTAGCTTTTCACTGCAATAGGTGGGAGATGAAAGGGGATATGAGAAAACATAGTGTCTGAAACGTAGTACAGGTTAAAATCCTACTGTTCCTATAGCTAAACAGAAAGAGACAAACTATATTTATTATGATACTGAGATTCTCCTGAATTTCATAGCAATTGCAGTCTCTGCCATTCACCTGGCAGATGTGCCCTTGGGGCTCATAGCCAGACATGCAACTGCTGTGGAACTGCATCAAGGATGAGGCTAGAAGTAAAGTATTTTCTGTGACACACAAGTAACTGTATTTTCACTAGACTATATTGTCATTTGACACTTTGACTCTTAACTGCTGTCTAATGAAGATTCTTTATCTCTCTTTCCTTTTTGATTTTCAGAGATGTTTTACAGTGTTTGCTTTGAACTGCCCTTCTTCAGAGTCCCTGACTACCATCTATAGCAAGATAGTTTTGTTCCACTTCCAACAACATACTTTTACTCTATCAGTAATCAAGAATATTCCAGCCATAGTACAAGCAGCCATATGGCTTCACCAAGCAGTGATTCCATACTTTCCACCAACTGCTATTAAGTTCCACTATATCTTTAACATGAGTAACCTCTCCAACGTCTTCCAGGTCTATATCATGGGTTAATTTTCTACCTAACAACACTCTATTTTTGCTGCTCTTTATTATTTAACAATGTAAATTGGCCAGTGAAACAATGAAGAACAGATGGCCTTTATACAAAGTAGAAGATAGTCCCTGCCTTGATGTGACTATGATCAGGTAAATGAAAAGGGTAGAAAGCTGAGAAAAAAAAGATATTTAGTGGAAATAGAGTAATGGTTTGCAAAGTTTGCTTTGCTTACTTATTATTTTGAGAAGGTCAACATTTGTTTAAAGGGAAGAACAACTTTCTGGAGACTAGGTAGAATGAAACAGAGATTGAAGAAGCTCTGCAGCAGGGGCTGAAACCAGTAGCCAAACATCAGAGCAGGGATTAAAGAGAAAAATGAGGAAAGAATATAATATGATCAGCAAATCCTGGTCCCTCTTGTAAAATCAGGTGAGCCTAGTCCTGCTTTGGTTTTACGTGCTTTCCTGTTCCTTGGAGTGCATCTGTTCTCTTCCAGAATATTTTTCTTGCCTGCCCCACCCCATGAATCATCATGAACTGTTAGCAAGGAGGCAAGGATTTGTCAGGCCTCCTGTTAATACTGCCCTGTATAACACAGACTCTGTTTGATGGGGATGCACTGGCCCATCGTGCACATTTTTACCCATCCTGGCATGGAATTTGTTAAGGAAGGTTTGAGGTGACAGTTGAGAAAGTGCTAGTTTTGTCATGATAAACCGTGTCCTGCTTTCTTGAGTGGTACTGCAAAACAAGGCTGGTGAACACATAAGATCCTGGCGGTGCTGATACTTCCCTGTGTCCTATACTGCACCAGGGCCTCAAACCCTAACGAGTCACAAAAGTGTGCCAGTCAGTGCAGAGCAGACGTTTGTTTTAATTGTATTTTGCATGCTGAGCTGGCTGGAGAACTTGCTAATTTAAGAGACAGTCTCGTTCATGTTAAAGAATATGTAGTTTCAAGCACGATATGTATTGGGTATCTGCTCAGGATGGTTAATGCCTTTTAAGGGAGACTAACTGATATTCTGCAGGATGGCCTGTTTTAATGCCAGATGACAGCATTAAAAATATATATATATATATACACACATGATGTTATCCTTAGGGCATTCTGTTTGCTACACCCGAGTGTTTACAACAACCAAATGATCTTCAACGTCTTTGGCTTCATGAATCAGCTCGTGCCTATGGGGATAAATTGGTGGAAAACAAAGACTGCAATTTCTTTCATAAAATGTTGATAGGCACTATGCACAAGTATTTTGAGGTACGTTGGTAACTTGAAAGTATTTTGCCTGACACCAGCAAATTAAAAACTGGGTAGTGAAATGTCTCATTCGTTAGAACTTTAAGTATCAGTAGCGCAAGCATCTTCCTTCCTAAGGAGAAGCAGGTGCCAGAGTAAGTGAAAAGGGGAAACCAAGGAAGCTTCTCCTTTGAGATTCAGAGGTAGTTATTCTTACCTTAATTGGAATATTCAACTAGCAGAGAGCTCTCAAGTATCTCTGTTGCAGTGTTGTTAGTAACTTAGAGCAAACACTTGAGCCTTCCCTAGAGCAGGGAGGTGGCAACCTGTGGACATGACTCTTCATGTCCTTTGCCGGATACGTGGAAACAAGTTGTGATCTTCATTTTCTCTTTCCTGATTCTGCGCTTCAAACCACAAGAATAATGTATTTTATTTTTCTTTATTAATTGTTCCTTTTGTATTAGTTTTCCTTCCCTGAATAGTTTATCTTAAGTGTGTGTATGTCTATGCCTATATATTAAAAAGTTGAATTTTTTTTTTTTAAATTGCAGTCTCTTTGAGCTTCAGAGCATGTCAGTAAAACAGCATGTACTTTTTTAACTGTGAGCATTGTTGTTTATCCAAATAAAAGTGCTTGTTAAGAATTAAACTATTAGAGAGTTAAGATACTGTAAATTGCAAGACATATATAAAACAAATATGCAAGTTTCATTTTGGTCTTTCTGTTGTGTGAGGATCAGGGTTTTCACAGTCCAAACATTGCACATATAAACCACCAAGCAAGTATGTTCCTTTGCTTTGATGTTCTCAGTGAAGTTTTGTTATGTTGTCTTTTGTTTCCTTAACTTGTCATACATAAAGAAATATAGTACATTGCAGTATTGTTCATTGTATCAGACATGGCATGCAGAAGACAAAACAATGCCACATATTAGGTAGTACCATGGCATATATAGTTTCTTCTGGAAATAATCTGTATTGGTGCCCATACCAAGGATGAACTAACTAGTAAGGAGCGCAGTACTGTTTCTACTTGCTCTTTGAAAACTCTTCACTTGAAAGCATACTCATTTTGCAGCAGGCAAAGCAGCAGAAATATGAACTAAAATGAACCTATTAAATGTATGTGTACTTGATTTTTAAAAAAGAAAACAGTTTTCCTAATAGTTGGGGAGGAGGTGGAAGAAAAAGGGAGTGAGTATTTTAATTTATTTGACAGAAATGGAAAATGGAAAATATCAGCTTTGTTTAGTAGTCTTTTTTTTTTTTCCTTCCTTTGTAATTTCTATTTGCCAGTAAAAAAAAAGAGTGACAAGAAATAGAATAAGGATAGGAATCGGGACACCAAAATGGAAAATTTACAATATTTGGAAATGTTTGAACCTAGATTGAACAGTGACTTCCTGTCACAAAGAAGTTATTGTTCATTAATTTTACATAGTTTAGACATGAACAATTAAAGATATAAACAGCTTTACTAGTAGTTATTTGGAGTCTGACTGTTTGGAGGTACTGTGCAAACACTTTGAGCCCATACTTGCACCTACTTTTAGTCTTCCAGTGTACTCACAGTGCATGGGTACATCAATCACTACCCTAATGGACTGCTTTTTCATGAAAATTTTTCTCATGTTGTGTTTCGGGCATTCTTAAACTATTCTTTTTCTCTCTCGCTATGTGGTAGAATGGGGAAGACCAAGTGTTGCTGCAATCTCCGCTCATTGATTGCCATTTTGCAAACGGCAGAGCAGACTCTTGCTACAAGCCAGTGAAAGGGTGGGAACCACTGAGGAGTATACTTGAGGAGTTCCTTGAAAGCTACAATGAAATGCATGCTTCTATGAACCTAGGCTTATTTGAGGGTGCCATGCAGCACGTGTAAGTGGAATATTTATAAAGGGAGCAAATAATTCATGATGATGCTACCGATGTTTGCATGAAGTTGTTGCTTTTCACTGTTCAGAGGTGTTTGCAATGCAGACTCATAACACTTTTAATGGAAGGCTTATGCAAGGGCACTATGCAGCAGTAGTCCCGCTAAATATATTTTATTGATGCCATTATGGAAGATTAGGTTGTGGCTCAGTGTTTAAACTAACCTCTGTTTTGTTTGTTTAAAGAGAGATTCATCCTTTTTTTGCACTGCATAGAAATTAACACCACTTATTTTCTGAGGTTGGAAACATTTGCTTTATTTTCCTGTATGGACAAACCCCAGCCAATTATCAGAAGATGAAGTGAAGATTTTGCTCAATAACTGAGGCACAGACTTCACTGTTGCTCCTTGTCATTATTTATAATCTTTCTTCAACATATACAGTTGTTCTGGTCATGTGTAATATCAGTGATTTCCAGAAAGAGACAGAAGCCCATGCTGGCAGAGCTTATTTTTGTTAAAGCAGCTTCTATTATTTGCAGTGTCAAATCATTTAACACAGAACCTTTTCTTCTCACTGAGTTGGACTAGGATTTCAGTGTCATCGTTTTTCACTTTGTATGTATTCAGGCAGGAGCTATATAAGAGAAGGTGCTCTGGACAAAGCAGTCTATTGTAGAACTTTCTCTCCAAGAGGATTAATAAAAGAGCTTAAATTACAAAGATAATCATATGGATCTTTCATAGGGGCTGTAGATTTTGTTCTGCTGGTTTAGAGGTTGATGTGATAATCATCAGAAGCCTTCTCAGGTATCGCTAGTTTTGCTTGAGAATGTTGGTAAGCCATTGTCTTCTCTCTGAAGTCTAGTGACCGAGAGTAGTATCCTAGTTTGGTAAAGTAGCAGGGTGTCTTAGCCTTACAATTTGGCAGTCTCAGAAAAGTCTATGTGAAATTAAATCCTGTAATTTTTTTCCACACCTTTTAGGGTTTTTTTTTAATGGATCCATTGTGAAATCATTAATAAGGCTGACAAAGCTCTACAATGAGGTCAGAGAGATTTGGCTTCCAGTAATGTTTTGGTTGAACAGGTTTCTCTCTCTTTATTAGATGCAACTAGATTAGACACATTATGCCTTCAATTAAGAAGGTTCTTATTGATCTTTTTTCAGGGATGATTTTTTTTCAGTGGCATGAGACATAAAGAGAATGAGGGAGTTGCTTTTTGGGTTTTTTTTTTTTCATTCATCTATGAAAGATAAATAAAGCAAAATATCCAATGTGCTATCTCTAAGCTCTGATCTGGTGATACTAGGCTGTAATTCCTTAGAATCTGCATTTGATTTTAAAAAATGAAATTCTGAAAATAATTTGTAGATGCTTATATAAATGACTAGAGTATCAATCGAAAGAGACTTAATATCTCCAAACATAGGGTTTTTTGGGGGGAAGAATTACCTCAATACTTACATTTGAAAATTCTAGCAACTAAATCTTATCTAGTTTTGAGCCAGATCCTCATCTGGCCTCATTCATCCTATGGTATTCCATGATCAGCAAATAAAAGCATGCCTTAAGTAGTCTGCGCTAGATATTCCAAGAGTAAATTAAAGTTTGATGCGTATTTTTCATGAAGTGATTGATTATCCTTCAGCCTTTGAGATGCATACTGCCCAAAGTGAAAATTCTCCTAGGGCCCAGTTGGCCTCTCTTCAAGTGAACTAGGTCTTTATTCTGAGTCCAGCCAGGGTCTGTCAGGATCTTGGAATGATGCTTTGGAGCAACTCAATGTAAAGAATAAGCAACCAGACAGCTCAGGTCATTGTAGAGGTCAGTGCAGACCTTCAATATTTGACAAGGAAAAACAGCTTTTCTACCCACTTGCTCTGATATTGGAAAGAAACAAAATGCTGACATGAAGATAATGTACCTTTAGGTGTTAAGAATACACTGCCACAAAAACAGACAAAAAAAGAAAAGAAAGAAAGAAACCAACCTTGGTGCAATAAAAAGAAATTGAGAAACTTGGCTAACGAGGTTGTTGAAGTCTATGTTATGTTCTTGTTCTTTGTCATCAGGTGCCGAATCAGTCATATCCTAGAAGCCCCTAGGGGTTATGCACTTCTGATTGGAGTAGATGGTAGTGCTAAACAAAGCTTGTCGAGGCTGGCAGCATACATCTGCTCCCTGGAGATTTTCCAAATCACACTGAAAAAAGACTACGGGATCCAGGACCTGAGGGTAAATGAATAGATATTATTTGAATCTGTTTAATTCACTACTTCAAGAACGTGTTGTTTTGTTGTTATATGGGCTTGATAAAATCACAGGTGAAGCAGTGTAATTTACAGTAACAAGCCCTGTGGTTCCTGTGGTTTCCAGCTGCACCTCTTGTTTTCTTTATCTCTGAAAAATAGGTGGTCAAAAGGTTTATTAGTGTCCTTTTATATGCTTCACAGAATTTTGGTATTCTCCAC